CAGGAATGCAAGAGACTGTTCATAGTTTACTTGTCTGAGAAAGAGTACTTTGCTGTGCCCAAAAACTTGAAACTCTTGGCCGTTCCGCTGTTCGAACTCTACGACAACATTCAGGTTCGATAATTTTGACACTGACCCGTCTTTTCTTTAGAAACGATCGGTCGATCATGTTTTTCGGTGTTTCTGTAAATTCTAATGGCGTATTATATTTATTTCTCGTTACAAACAGAGATATGGACCGGTTATTTCAACTATTCCGCAGCAGCTATCGAGATTCCATTTCAACATGGTCAGTTCTTAAAGCTCCACAACCATTTAGAGAACAAAACTCCTCGAGACTGTAAGGCTGCTTTTGAATCTTGGAATCAGGGGGTGGGCATTTCGGTTTTCGCTTTGATTCGGTTCGGTTTAAATGTTAGATTTGGTTCGTTTCATTTTCGGTTTGGACTTGGTTTTTAATTATAGAAATGCTTTTTTTTCTATTTTCTAAAAAATGTTTACAGGTTTATCGGTTACTTTATATTCGAATCCAATTTGGTTTTCGGCTATAAAAATATCATAATTATTCGGTCTATATCGGATTTGATTCAATTACACTTATGTATTATTCTGTTTGGATCAGTTCAGTTTATGAATAACCGATCCGAATGCTCGCCCCTTAATGTAACGGTTAAGTTTTTCGAGTTCATCATGCCAAACCGACAGAAACACAGAGTTCGATTTTTGCGGTTTTGCCAAGAAATATCTAATAATGTGTAGTGTTCCAATAATAATTTCATCATATTAAGTTATTAACTAGTTTAATAGAGTAATAATTTATTTATAGAATTTGGATAATTATAGTTAAAACAATTATAAACTTGGGTTTATAACGAAGGAAAAGATAAAGTTTATAAGGAAAGTGATTAGATATATTATAATATAAGCACAATCAATATTTGATATGTTAAACGTTTTCCAATTGTCAATTCCAAAATTTTAATTTTAAAAAAATGCAATTAGTTAAGGATTCAATCATTTTCTCAACAACCTTTTTGATCGCGACAAGTGGAACTACATTACAATCTTTTTGGTCGAGTAGACTAATATTGTCGGTCCATATTCATAGACTTTTTTATTTATTTTTATTTTTAAGAAAATCAAATTGATTAAGAAAAAACATAAACACAAACACGAGATTATGTTTATAAAGAAACTTTAGGCCAACTGTAAATACTTTGTTAAGTTTCTTGCAGCAAATGGGAAGTCGTTGTTGACTTTAATTAATTGCAAAGATTAACATAATAATCTAATCTCACCCCTAATAATATCATTGCTAATTAATTTAATAATTTGAATTAGAGATAAGATTGTTTTCTGTTCCAAAGTAAATTAAAATATTCTCTCCAAGTTCATGATCTTGCAAATACAATCTGTCTGGTCGCCTTCTTTTAAAAGCTTTATGAATAAATACTTTTAATTAACAGATTGGATGATTCTCTACAATCACTGAAAATCAATTATTTTGATGTTTGATGTTAATAATAATTGTTCGAATCAGACAGAGATTGTTTTTGTCTGTATTAATTTATTTTATCAAGCTGCCGAGTTCATCCTATGTGGTCGTAACTTACGTTGCATTGGTATTTTCGTTTATTTTTATTTTTTAAAACAATAGTTTGTATTTATTTATTTTTAATAATAGCTGACATGAAATAATTAGGGTTCTTATCGGAAGAAGAACAAAGCTGAAAGCAAAAGAGAGAAAAAAGATTCCCTCTTTTCTCTGTCTGAATATTTTATATTAAACGAAGGAGACTTTGGTTACAGCTTACAACTAATCCTTTACTCAGAGAGATTCCACAAGACTTTCCTCGGATGTTAGCGCCTCTACACACATATACATACAGACCTACACCTCAACACATTTACTGTAACAGTACATATATATACATATATATATTGGTGTATGTATACATGACATACCTGTCCTGTGTCTTTTCTGCAAGTAACAGCCCCCACTTGGCTGCTTATGAGTATTATTCTGTGTGTATAAATACATACATACACACACATACACACATATATATATATATATGTATGTATGTAGTCTTTCTTTAATTTGGATCATTGGTCATGTTGGATCAAGAAATGGGGAAGACAAGAACAGAAGAGAGAAGAGAGCAGAAACAGAAACAGAGGAAAGGGTTATGGTCTCCAGAGGAAGACCAGAAGCTCAGAAGCTACATCCTTTCTCACGGCCATGGATGCTGGACCTCTGTCCCCTTCAAAGCTGGTATATATCTCTTAATTGACATAATCAATCACACATTATGAATTAGTTGTTTACTTGTTTATCATTTTACAGGACTGCAGAGAAATGGAAAGAGCTGCAGATTAAGGTGGCTTAATTACTTAAGGCCAGGTTTAAAGAGAGGGACGTTCACTAAAGAAGAAGAAGACACCATCTTGACCTTCCATGCTTCCTTGGGTAACAAGTAAGCAAACCCTAAAAAAACACCAAACCCTAAAATGTTTTTTTTCTCTATTGTTTGATGTGATACGTAATTCTGTTATCAGGTGGTCGGAAATAGCGAAATATTTACCGGGAAGAACGGACAACGAGATCAAGAATTACTGGCACTCCCATCTGAAGAAGAGGTTACTCAATTCGTGTCAAGAAACCGAAACACCAAGCCCGCAACTCGTAGGGTCTTCGATCGCGTTGCTTTCTTCTGCAACAAGAAACCGAGAGACCCAGGTTCCGAACCGCACAATCTCATCGCAGAAGCTTCGAGAAATTTCATCGTCAGAAGAAAGCAGCATCAGTGTTGTAGTGACCGACCAATCTTCCGTCCTTGGAGGCTTTGGTCTTGCCCAGGTGAACAACAACTTGCCAAAGCTTTTCTTCTCCGAGTGGTTCTCTTCTTCTTCTTCAGACCCTGTTGATTTTTCTTCCTCCACCTTCAAAGATTCCAAGAATAATATCGTCCCGAATCCGGAAGGTTCTGTCTCAGACTGCGCAGAAACGATGACCATCAATGGCGGCAGCTCATCACTTTACGACATCATGTTTCAGTACGAGGACGTGATTCTTGAGACAGCAGACTGTTCATCTTCTGGTAATTTCTTCAATATCGACGGCAACGTACTGTACTTGTAAATCACTAAATGTAAGATAAAGATTTTTGTTTATCGATCAGGATTAGTCAGATCTCGTTATCCAAAAATCTGAAATATCTATAAGGGTTTGTTAATAAATAACATCTCATTGTGTATTATATATAATAATCAAAGGGATTTGTACTATGTTGTTCATTGTTTAATGATCCCTCCAATCAAAATTTTCCTTCATTTTCTGTCTCTTTCTCTATCGTCTTCGTCTTTGATTCTTTTACTATTGTCGTCGGCGGCGTAACAATATTTATATTTACGTATTCATATTGATTGTGTATCCGTTCACGTCATGGTTGAAATTAAATAATCATCGGTCAGGACCAGTCTGGCTTGCAAGAGGACAAGACCCATGAAGACAATGATCCCAACTGGTGTCCATTTCAACGCAATCGCCTGCAAAAAGAGATATACACAGGTGTGTATACACGGATTACATATACAGAAGAACAACCTAACTTGTGTTCCAAGTAAATAAATTCTTGATTTTGTCCTAGAATTTTCTAACCTCAAGACATGGGGAGCTCCAGATGGATGAAACAGAGGTCCGAGGATTCGGTGAAACTCTCTCTGACGCTTCTTCTGGTAATCAAAAGGTGAATGCTTTTATGCGATTTTCCGGGCAAAAATTCTCGGGAAGATTAAGAACACGTACCCGGAATCCGCCGTCTTTGTATAATATCTTGCATATGTTCAGAGATTATATCCAAATCTTGTTTCCTGCAAGCGTTCAGCTTTGATAAATTGACCTGAGTTCTCGTATCGATATATCGCTTCCTGATACTCCTTATTATGCTATCTGCAGGCGGTAATTTAAACTCTGTCGTTGATTTTCTTGATTGAATGATCAATTTTCTCGCCGACCAAACAGAAAAAACATGAGCAGAAATCTGAGATCTGAGAGCTTCGTAGTTACCAAACTTGACAAAGCTGTAAGGTTTTGAGATTTTCTTGATCAGGGTATCGTCGAACGTTTCGAATTCCATCTGCAGATCTTGCAGGAAATGAAATGCAAGTTTTCTCGGGTACGAAGAATCCGATAGCGTGATGAAACATACGTTCTTCTCCAGCAGAAAGCTTTCGCAGTTCGAGAACATAATCAGATAAACATCAAGAAGAACACGGAAATTGTAACAGAGAGAGATTTTTCAAGAAGAAAACGAAATCGAAGGATACTGGAAAGAATGGTGATCGACCCAAACGGTCATCCTTGGATGCAACAATGAACCGCTGGAGATTTCTCCGAGGAGGAACTCGGCTTGTTTCTTGTAGAACAAGAAACTGTTATTCCCGGAGAAGGAAGAACCGTCTTGTGAAAGCGGCAATCCATCTTCCACTCTCCCGACTATCGTTAGCTTCAGCATTGTCCTGATTTACCCGGAAAAGAAATATTATGTTCGGGTTTTGGACCTCCACCTTCTTGATCTGAATATTCATGGCTGCCGTAATATATAGACAAACAAAAGAGAAGGATTGAAGACGAAGTTGTTCCATGCTGGCATGTTTTGTCTGCACTTCAGGCAAAAACTGCAGACAAAACATGTTTCAGAGGAAAAGGAATATTGGGGTTTTTTCCCCTTCAATTAGGGTTTTTGTTCTTCCTGCGAACACAAACATCGCTTACAACAACAAAGTATGGGATTCTTCCAAGATTCGTTATATATATATATATATAAAAGAAACTTTTATCCAAAGAATAATACAAGTTTCCAAATTTCTCAAACTTATTGAAATTTCCACACCATCAGTCGCAAAGTCTTGACTGAAGAAGCTGAAACACGTGTTTTAATTACAGATGCATTACAAATAATAACAGTTTGGGAGATATAGCCGCAGATGCAGAAAGCCCTAGTCCACACAATGGCTCATATAGCTGAGTAACTGTAGTTATCGTCGTCAGAAGAAGCGGGCTTGGCAATGGCGGTGAGCACAACAAAGGCCCCGAAGAGAACGGTGATAATGGCCGTGAAGTTGACAAGAAACGCTTCGGATCCGTACTTGTCAAGCCCTGAAGACTCGAGGAACGTGAGCTTTTCAAGAAACCCTAAAGTCGCGTTTCCAACAGCAAGTATGTATACAAAGAGGCCGACAAGAGCGTGTAATGGAAGCGAGTCACTGCGGAGAGTTGATGATCCTCCGGGGTAGAAGAACACCACGAATCCATAGAGCCACTACAAAGTTTGACAATATGGTATGAAATCATCAGAAAATGGGAATAAAGAGAGAAGAATCTTCAGTTTGGAAGTTCAAAATGGGGAAGAAAGAGAGGATCTTTGGTTTTGGAAGTTGAAAATGGGGAAGAAAGAGAGGTTCTTGTTTCAAATCTGACACAACTATCAGAGCTCCTGTCTAGTTCATGGAGTTCTAGGTTTGTTCACAAGTGTTTGGTTGATTCATCAAATCATTTGGGAGTGTTCAGTATGCAACAAAGTGAATCAATGGCTTGCGCAAAAACGGATAAACATTGAAAGGGTTTCATACCGGTTCGAGAAATAAGAGAAAGGCGATACCTGAAGGCCGTAGAGAACGATGACACCGATCCCGATCCAGGAGTGGAGACTGTAGAGATTTGCAATGCCAGCTTCATTGTGGTTCTTGAAAGCTGCCGAGATTCCCCAGCTACCAAGAATCAGAGCAATGGCGTGGAGGATTAGGTGTATCAGCTTCTTCACGGGCTTCTTCAATGGAAGCGCTTTGTAACTTATAATGGCTGCATTTTTCCGTTTCAACACACGCAGACCAGAATTCAGACAAACATAAAGTGACCAATCACTAATCCACAGTCAAAATGGAAACTGGTTTCATATTTTTCGGTTTCCTGTTAACTTGGAAAGGGTCTGTAGTCTTACCTTCACCTCCCATGATTATGAAGCCAATGAGCATCAGAACAGGATGCAGCTGCACCAGAGAGATAAAACGATATCAGCGCAAACACGAAAACAGAACGAAAATCGAAGGATCAATCTTACGACGCCAAACATATGAACAAAGATCCCGAACAAGATCGCTGAACTGGAAAGGGAACGATGGAAAACGGTGAAAAGGAAAAAACTACGAGTAGGTTGCGAAATGTCGCTATATATCGTCATGTTTGAATGCTAAGATCATAGGACAAAGGACCGAACTTCAAGATAGTTTCAGATTACATATATATCAGTCACCAAACATCCTCTTTTACCAGGAAAAATCAAACCCAAACAATCATTAGCTATCCTCTTACTGAAATTCACACAATATTAACTGAAGAATCTGATCCAATCTGACAGAGATTCTGTGAAATTTCTTCTGCAAACTTGTCTCATTTTCAGGACAAGAATCAGATTCAGACACCTAATGGACACTGCACCAAAATCAGAGTTTATCTGACTAAAAATACCAACTATTTATGTCAGGGAACTTGTGTTTAGTTACAGCCTCTTAGCACAAAGTTAAGAACTTTGACACCCACGAAATCGGAATTCGGAAGAATAAACAATCATTTGCAGATCGAACCCAAAAAAGGAAAGAAATCATAAGTTTTTTCAAACATTTGCATATCTCTTCAGCAAACTTGCAGGTAGATCAAGATAGAAAGGTCAACGCAGAGACAAGAACACAAAATAAAGCATATGTTTTTGTCCCAAAAGGGAATCGAAAACAGAAACTCCCACGAAATTGGAAGAACATCTGAAGAAATCGATCCGAGTAATTTCACCAAAAAAAAAAAATCGATCCGAGGAAAGAGAAGAGAGAACGTTACATTGAAGATGAGATTCTTGTTGGTAGCTTCCCAGGCCAATCCTCCTCTGTAACTGATATTCCAAACGAGCACCATAATCGCGCCTGCGATGGCGAGCGCGTGCGCCACAAACGTCAACGGCCGCGCGTTTAGCTCCACCGCCATTTCCTTAATCCTTCCGTCTTCTTCTTCTTCGATGTCCGAAAAATCTGGAACCAAACACCAAAACCTGTGGGGAAAACTAGGAGAAAGATCGAAACGCAGCCTTTTATGATCAAATACTTTTCCCGAAGCCACGTTTGTTCTCACGCTCCAATTAAAAAATTAATTTCAGGTTCGGATTTCTGATCTTTTTTTGTGGCCGTTGGATGAAGATCAGGTAGACAATTGGGTCGTCGCCACGTGGACAGATGTGATCGTACGGAGGTAGCTGTAACTAACCCGGATTCGTGTCTGGTTCTTCCACCAATCAGTGAAAGGTTTGAACTTGAAATACATATGGATCCACGTGTTTTTTGGAGCAAAAAGACAAAAAATCGCGTGTAGTAAATTACGATCGTGCCACTGGATCTTGGTCTACGCCCAATTACCAATATCATGGACCAAACCCAAATACATTTTTTTTATTTGATTATTTTTTAGACCAACAAGGTAGATATTTTTGCTTAAAGATTGTAATAAAAAAAAAGATTTATACAATTTCCAACTAATTTTAGAGGCCTTGTATTACTAGTCATTCAGTTTTGCTTTGTCAAGGACAACGTGGGAAGAATATAAAAAATGAGTACATGTCTTATAGTGGGAAGGATATTAAAAAAAATATAAAAGAAATTACAATATGTATATGGACAAAGTATCTTACAGTAGAAGGAAATTGTAAAATACGAAATATAAAACGCCTACTATGCCACATATTTTGTATTTTTCATACCTTGGAGGAGTTCAAATTTTGGTGAGAGGTGAGAATACCATCAGCATGCCTCCATGATACATCATATTCATATGAATACATATACATAATAAGGAGCAAGTGTAACCAAGAGAGGGACCACCATGTTAGGTATGAGAGGACGGATGATGAGTGAGTGTGTGCATAGGCGGGCGTATGATTTGATCATCCGTTGGTCTATTGCCTATTGGGTCATGTAATAATTAATTAATTAAACATTTATTTTAATCTCAATAATTAAATATTAATCCATCATAACAATCATTACATGTCATATTATCATTCAACTAATACATAATATCAAATTAATACCGAGATTAACGACATTACAATTACATCAACTTTATATTCATTTATCAAGTTCACGTATAACGAAAAACAGAAAACAATGGAGGGGACTCCAAATTTATTGAGTTTCATCTTCATTCATAAATACACATTAAATATATTCACAAACAAACAAATGTGTTGGATGACGACGAGGATGTGGCACATAAAGTCGATGCTGGCTTTTGGGCCACCACTACTATCAATAATGTTCCACTTCATGCATGTATTGGAATATATTACCAAAAAAAAAAAAAAAGGAAACAGCCCGCATTTATTTGCAGTCTTTATAATTTCCATGAAAATAATATGATATCAAATTAATTGAATATATATATATATATATGTATTGGTTGTTTTGGATCCATCCTTAATGATAAAGATAACCTTGTTCTTTGCTAGTGCATGGAAGAATCGGGTTCTATTTCGTTAACAAATTTATTTGATACGACAGGCAAATTATATGTATATTTCCCTTACAAATAACTTATACATACATGCATCCAATGCATACATGCATATACTCGTATATAAGTTATGTGTGGTATATCCAACAGTTGGTGGATTAGTGGTTGAGAGGTGACAAAGTCATCCTTAAAGTTTTGGGTTCAATTTCACTGGTGAAGAATGATGTAATTTCTGGACTAAAATGATCTATATACTCGGGATAGGGTGGATGACTGGACGTAGTCGGAACGAAAGTTTGGGGAACCATCCTGGTTATAAAAAAAAAAGTCATGTGTAGTTACAATTTATTTTAAAACAGAAAATGAAAATGTAAGACAGAAATTGAATTTCAAGAAAATGACAGAAGAAATTCAGATTCCTCGATAAACAGTAAGTATAGATATTTCAAACAAAACAACTTTTTTATAAAAAAAAAATTAAACATTTGATTTTCCAAAAAAAATAAACAATATTATTTTGATTAGTTAAAAAAAATTAAATTCAGATATTATATTACAGTATTCTGATTCTGACCATTACATTTATTAAAAAAATTCGATTTTTTAAGCAAGAAAAAAAAGAGCTTTTTTTTAGCGTGAAGACATTTATTTACACACGGCTCCTCAAGCGTGGCCAGTAATGATTACCCACTTCCCTAAACTTCGGATTAGACTTAGTAATTAACATTCCATTCTACGAACGAATCTAATACTAACGTACCCAAACCCATCATCATCTTTGACTTATCTGTATATATATATATATATGTATGTATGTATGTATGTATATATATATGTGTGTGTGAATGATATATAACATTGAAAACCCGTTTGCTTTGGTGCATTAAAAAGAAAAGCACTTTTCAATTCAATAAAAAAAATAGAAAAGTTAATTTCCTACTCAATCACCCAAAAAGATAATACAGTGTAAGCTTCAGACATAATCACTTGATTTAGCATTCTAACGCTTACCCTTTTCCCTTCCTCCACTTTTCTTCAAGACAACTGTAGAAATCAGACAAAAATTCCTCTGTTTTTTTTCTCTTCATGTATCTGAAGTTTTTGCAGTTTCGAGAACAATGTTCAAGTCATGGAGAAACGACAGGAACAAGATCAAAGCTGTGTTCAAGCTGCAGTTTCAGGCAACTCAGGTATTTCACCTTGTCTGATGATTCCTGAAACAGATAATGTGAAAGCTATAGAATCAATCGAACGTGAATGTGAAGAATTAGGGACAGATCGTCTCAACTAAACATAATTATACGCAAAATCTAAGTTAAGTAAATCGGAGATTGGAACGAAAAATGTTACCTTTTTTTTGTGGGCATTTGATATTCTTCAGGTGCCGAAGCTGAAGAAACCTGCTTTGATGATATCTTTGGTTCCTGACGATGTTGGGAAGCCGACATTCAAACTTGAGAAGGCCCCAGTTAAAGACAACATCTGTTCGTGGGGGAATCCAATATATGTGTCGGTGAAGCTGATCCAAGAACCCAAAACTGGGATTATTCGTGAGAAGATTTACCATTTCGTCGTTGCAACAGTGAGTATGATCGTCGTTGATGATGATGGTGATGTCCTTAAATGTTCCCCTGAGTTTTCTTTCGAAGTTGTCTGAAAGTTTGGACCTTTTCAACTTTTTTTTTTTTGTTTCAGGGTTCTTCAAAGTCGGGCTTTCTAGGAGAAGCTTCAATTGATTTTGCAGATTTTTTGGCAGAAGCAGAGCCACTTACTGTCTCATTGCCGCTTAAATTCGCCAACTCTGGTGCAGTTTTACATGTCTGCTCTCTCTCTCTCTCTCTCTCCTCGGACCTGCGTGAGAATTGCATCGATGAAATTGTCAGGATTCACCATTAAAGAATGAAGACAAAACATCTAACTGAAAAATCTGCACAAAGTAAAACAATGTTTTAATCTATAACCTAAGACCGGTTGGTTTTCATATAAATGTTCCGATTGTTGCAGGTGACAATTCAAAAGATGCAGGGAACCAATGATCTAAGGTAACAATTTCTGTCTTTCAGACTGCTCCCAATCTCGCATTTACTTCCCACAACAGTTCAAAGATGTTTGTCTTATGTTGCAGATTCATGGAAGAAAATGGAGGTCAAGCACTTGCTAAAGAGGAGAGCTTCAAAAGCCAACAACGCAATGATGGCATCGATGGATTTGATCAGGATGTAAGTGAAAACATTGGCAAGGCCCTGATAAATATCAAACTCTTCTTTTTAAAAAAAACAAAATCTCTGTTGTTTTACAGGAAAGATATTTGGATATAAACACGCGTAAGAACGGGATCTCACTTGGTTCGTTTGAATCTAACGGAGCGTCAAGCTGGGTAGATAGTTCAGAGAGTGTGTGTCTACCTCGTCGACAGAACACAATCCCTGCAAGAAGAAACGGGCATCGGAGATCAAACACAGAGTGGTCAGCAAGTTCAACATCAGACGGGAGTTATATCGAGTCGAAAAACAGTCCTGAGAAACTAACTGAGCTGGAAATGCAGTCTCTAAAGAAACAGGAACTCTCAAAGGAACTAAGTTGTCTCAAGGAAGAAAGAGATGCCCTTTTGGATGAATGCAAGCAGCTCAAGTTGCAGAAGAGTATAGATGAAGTTTATGCTGAAAGCAGAATAAGAAGCATAAGCGAGGATACAAGCAAAATGATAGAAGGGATGAAAAATGAACTAAACTGCGAGAAGGATATGAATACAAACCTTAGGTTGCAGCTGCAGAGGGCACAGGAGTCAAACTCCAACTTTATTCTTGCAGTGAGGGATCTGAATGAGATGATGGAGCAAAAGAACCGAGAGATATCTTCTCTGAATACCAAATTAGAGGAGATTAAGAAGTTTCAAGGATCAGGAGACGGATTCTGGACGTAATGCAAATCGAAATGAAAGCCAACAAGGATGGAAAGGCGAGATCGATATGCTTAAGGGAAGAATCGAAGACTTAGACTGTGAGTTAGACTCTTACAGGAAAAAAAACGAGGAACTGGCGATCCAGTTGAATGAAATGACTCACGAATACGAGTCCTTAAAAGTGGAAAACTGTAACATATCTCTGACGTTAGAGCAGCAAGAACACTTGAAACCACAAGATGAATGCCAATATCCGAGACAATACATAGAAGAATTGGAATCTCAGATAGAGAGAATGGAGGAGAAAATGCAGCAGCAGTCATTGGAATACTCTGAATGTTTGATTACAATTAATGAACTCAAAATTCAGGTAAAGGAACTGAAGAAAGAACTCGAGGAGCAAGCTCGCGTTTTCGAAGAAGATCTTAGAGCAGTGATGCAGGCCAAAACAGAGCAAGAGCAGAGGGCCATAAAAGCAGAGGAGGAGTTGAGAAGAACAAGGTGGAAAAACGCCATAACAGCTGAGAGGCTACAGAAAAAATGCAAGAGGGTTTCTCTAGAAGTGGAGTCTAAGCTCGGTGAGAACGAGAAGCTGACAATGAAGAGCGTGGAGGAGGCAAATGATATCCGCGCACGAAACAAAAACCTGGAAGAAATGCTACAGAATGCAAATACAGAGATATCAAAACAAAAAGACATAAGGAGGCGTGAAGAAGAGAAGAATGAAGCATTGTCAATGAAAGTTCAGATACTCGAAATGGAGATAGAGAAGCTAGCAAAGCTGAGGGATGAATCAATGGCAACAGCTACTGAAACTGAGATGCTAATTCAGGAATGGAGAAAAGAAAGAGATCAACTGGAGAGAAAATATGCATTGGCTAAAGAAGAAGCCGAGAGGGCGCAAAAAGATTTAATTCTCACAAGGTCATCACATGATGAGAAAGAGGGAATCGTCCGAAATTTGAGGAGAGAAGTGGAAGGAGTTAGCCAACAGTACAGTGACTTGCAGAATAGCTTTGTTCAAGAGAAGATGGATAATGAAGCTCTAAGGAAACAAGTATCAAACCTGAAGGTCGATATTCAACGAAAAGAAGATATGTCTAAAATCCTTGCTGCAAGGTATGAAAAAATAACTAAGTCGATAGATATTCCCTTCAAATTTCCACTCGAGCCCCCGAAACTCACTCCACATGGCATTATATTGATGTTGTTTTGGATAACAGGCCGGAAGAAAGGCGGTCAGAAAACGAGAAGAAACTTTCCGCTTCTAATGGGCACAATGAGGAGAACCATACAAAACTACTGGACGAGTTGGCTTATTTGAAGAATCGAAACAACAGCATGGAGAGAGAGCTGAAAGAAATGGAAGAGAGATATTCGGAGATAAGCCTGAGATTTGCTGAGGTAGAAGGTGAAAGACAACAACTTGTGATGGCTGTTAGAAACCTCAAGAACGGTAAGAAGAACTAATATTTGTATGGTTTGGAAGCATTTTCGAGGAAAGCTACAACTTTTCTTATAGAACATAATCTTCACTCTCCGACCAAGATGTCAGAAATCAATAAGAGAGAGTTCCCAAGAGTTTAACCAAGAACACAAGGTTAGAAACTGGGCAGTGTTTCTTCATGGAAGTTAAAACTTGAATGCCTAAGGTCCAGCTATATTTGCCCTAAATGTTCATCAAGGAAGAACATAATGCTACCCATATGCGAATCTTGACTCAGTTAGCTTAACTGAGACAGAATAAACTTAGCGCAGAAGCAAGCCACCATTTTCCGACAGATCCAAAAGCATTTGTTCAGTCAATTACATCCTATTCGTCTTGCTTTCTGTTATGTTTATACACTAGGATTGAGATTTACCCACCTCCAGAATCTGAAAATCCATGCCGAATCTCTGGCGATTGGAAGAGTATTGCCGCGGTTCCAAATGTTTCCAAACCAGTATTGTTTGGCTTCATGTTCCGTTCACGGCAAAAGATATTAACAGGAGGAAAACCGACAGTAATGCATTCTGCAATCAGTAAAATCTGAAAAATCTCAAATCATGTAGCATTTCCCATTTCTGCTGTCTAAATCGTTCATCTGAGAGATGAAATGGTGAGGAAGAGACTGAGGATTTGAAACTGGCGCCTTGATGCTTTTTGCGATTTTTGTCGGAGAAAGAACGAAGACGAAGCCGCGCACGGCGAGTAGAAAATTCGCAATCACGTAGTTCGCCAATTTTGTGTAAGAACACCGTGCCGTTTTTATGTTCAGAAACGTCACAAAATGCGCTCGTAAAAATTATGTACGATGTGTAGTTTCTCAACCTTACGTCCTAATCGGCAAGCTCCCAAAGACCGACATGGCTCATGAATTTTTTAATTTTTATGTAATCCAAGAGCCATTTGAATCGTGGACCGTCTTGTAATACAAGTTCCCAATTATTTATTGGATAAAGATTAGCCAAAGGGTGCCACGTATGCAAACAAGAGCATGAGACGTGGCGCAAGATAGCAACATTCGTGGCAGATTGCTACAGAGCCACAGCCAAACCATAGGTGACACGACCAATGTGTCATCTTCACTCTATAAAAACCTTCAACAGTAGCTGTTTGGTTGCAGAGAAACACCAAGAAAAACCCAACACAAAAGAAAAGAAAGTTCCTTTTTTAAAAAAAATCCCGGGGAAGGAACGCAGCTTCGCCACTTGGTTTGGATATGGAGTCGCAATTGACCCGTCCTTCGGACAGTGATTACGCAGAGACCCATGTGAAAATTCACCATCCTGGTACGCGAATAGATCCGTATCATGGTCGGAATTACGTACAGAGAAAAAGAGTTTTTTGTATGTATTGCTCTGTTAAGATTCTTGGTTTTGGGTTGCAGAGGAAGAAGAGCACCATGAGAAGGGAACTGCCAAAGTGTTGAAGAAAGTGAAGGAAAAGGCTAAGAAGATAAAGAACACTATAACGAAACATGGTCATCATCATGAGCATGGTCATCATGTCCCCGATGATCATGATCTCGACGAAGAAGATGACGACGATGATGAACTTGTCGTCGACCCTGAAGTGCATGGCGCTCCGAGTACGTTATTCTGCTCTCACTGTATTTTGAATGAGTTTGAGCTATTGTATTTTCATTAGGCGTGTGCGAATTGGGTTGGGTTTGGTTTGGTTTGGTTAGTTCATGGTTCGGTTTAGGTTTATATTATTAATTTATTTCGGTTTAGCTCGTTGTATTGGATAACAAAAAATTATGCACGAGGGAAATAATTTTATAGTTTCTGTTCTGTTTTTTCGAGTTCCGTTCGGCTTGATGTTGGCCCCGTAGAGAAATCAAACTGAGTTTTATTGTTCAGATCTGTTTGATTTTTCAGTTTTTGTTGCAAAGAAGGGTTCGGTTTGGTATTCTTTGGATTTAGATTCGGTTCCGGTTTACTTTGGTCGTGTTCGTCCCGATACGAAATTTGGTTAATCGAAATTTCAAGTATCTTCAGACCAACGAAACTTTGAAATGGTTTGGTTTATTTCATGTTCGGCTTCATTTCGCTACGATTCGGTTTTGGTTTTGGTTTTGGTTTTGGTTTTGGTTTTGGTTTAGTTCAGTTCGTTCGATTTGCTTTTCCATCCTCATAATGCGCCATCGATTATGTGTTGCAAACAGTTTACGAATCATCCGCCGTAAGAGGCGGCGTGACAGGGCAGCCGGAGTCGTTGAGTCATCCCGGAAAAGGCCACATTCCGGCACCGGAGGAGATGGTTCCTCCAGGAACGAAGGTGTTTCCGACCGAGTCCTACGGTCAAATCAAACCGGTTGAACCAGTCGAAGTCTCTAAACCAGCCCAAGGCTTTGATTCTTCCCATGGTTTGGGAGGAACTGCTCCTCATCCTATGCGAGCATCCGATCCATCGGACCCAGAAGAGACGGCGCAAAACACGCCTCCGTCTCTCCTCTCAGTAACAGAGGATACGACTAGAATGTTTGTGTCTGCTGGTGAAGACCCTCATGGTCAACGGAAAGTCAACCTAGAGAGACCTAAAGGATTGGAGGAAGATCGCGCTGCTCCTGGAGGAGGGCTTGATTCTTCTGGTGTTGTCTCGAACTATCAATCCAAAGTCACTGATCCCACCGGAAAAAGTAGGAAACTTTCTGGCGAAATTTCGAGTTTTGATACGGAATTGGTTTAATATTCATCTCTGATCTGTTTTCAGGTGGAGAAGAAGTTGGAGTGACACCAATCATTGAATCTCTAGGTAAGATGAAAATGACGGATGTGCCTCATGAGTTATCAGAACGTGGATTGGAGAGAGAATCCCTGACGAGAAGGGACGAACTCGATGTGAAATCAGGACATGAACCGGGAAAGGATTTCCCGACACCTGAAATGTCTCCTCCAGAGAACCCTAAAACAGAAACTGGAGCTTCCAAGCCTCAGGCTATGGCAGATGATGCAGACATGCCAAAGCAGAGCAGCTACACCGAGAAAATCGTCTCGGCAACTTCAGCTTTGGCTGACAGAGCTGCAGCAGCAAAAACTTCCGTGGCCTCAAAGCTAGGTTACTCTGGAGGAGAAGGCAGCGAGGAAGAAACTCCAAGATCCGCCATGGAATACGGGAAGAAGATGGCGGAGAAGTTAACTCCGGTGTATGAAAAGGTCAAGGAGACTGGAACCAGCGTGATGTCGAAGATGCCCCTCTCGGGTAGCGGCGAAACCGGACAGAGACAGGACAAGGGAGTGTCAGCGAGGGACTATATAGTGGAGAAGCTGAAGCCAGGAGAGGAAGACAAGGCTTTGTCCGAAGTGATAACAGAGAAGCTTCACTTGGGAGGAGAGAAGAAGAAGAAGAGAGGGACAGTAATGGAGTCAGAGGAAGTGAAGAAGAGGCTTGGAGGGTTTAGCGATGAGAGGTCGGAGAAGGAGATGGAGCATGGAGAGAGCTTCGTGGAGGATGGCAATGGCGGTGGGGGAATGGTGGAGAAGCTAAAACTGGCGGTGACGTCATGGCTTGGCGGTAAGACGGAGGAAGTGAAGAACAAGTCGGCAGAGTCGGTTCAGGAGTCTTCACAGTCGCTTGGTTCCACGATTGGTAAGAACTGACATTGCGTTTGGCAAAACGCAAAACGCAAAACGCAAATGCGATCGCGATCTTTTTGTTTCAATGCGAGTCTAATGTTTTGCAAGCTTGTGATGTTGGCAGGAACCGAGTTAGGACTTGCGGGGACCAATGGAGGAGATGTCGGGGGAAACGGCGGCGGGGGGAGAAAGCTCCAAGAATCTGGGAACTGAGATTTGGCTGTTCCTTTGTGTACCGACACGGTTCTTGTCTCTCTTTTTTTCTTCCTTGAGGTTTGCTACGAGTGTGTTGTCTCTTTGATTCTGATTGTTGGGGAATGAACTGTTTTGTTGTAAATAGTTCGATTAAAGCGCAAGATAAATTAAGGTGAAATCGAATAACCAAAAAATTGTCGAACAATATTCCATTAATTTATTACCAAAAAAATCAATCGAACACCACAAAATAGTCAAGTTCTGAAGCCTTAGTCGTTGTAATTTGTGTGGGAAAAAAAGTGTTACATTGACAAATTACATGTTTTTTTAAAAACTTTACCCAGAGTAAAGTAAAAAAAAATATCCAATGCCACCGAAACTCAAAATCGAAATAAGAAAAACGTTTTATCAAAAAGGGTTGGTGATGAAGATGATGAATGAATCCAAGAAATTACAAAACATGGAAAACGAAATTGACGTGTGTCTTTGCATGCGAAGACAAGCGTTATCCATGCATGCATGGTACGTACGATACGTAAGAAAGGGATGATGATGATGATGATTTAGAGAGCTCGGCTTTTGATGATGTCGATGCTCATCTCGCTTGGATCCGTGGCCTGCAACTCGACTTGAATCCCATCTAATTCCCTCTTGAACCTGTCCTTGCTGCTTGCATACAGCATCTTCATCCTCACCCTCGACGAATCCGGTGACCTATACACACCATCATCATACACATATATATATATATATATATACAAAGGTGAAGGACAGGGTATATATATACATATGTGTGTGTGTACCAGGCGATGAAGAAGATCTTGCTCTTCTGGCAGTTCTCATTGGTGGTGAAGTCGAAGTCATAGACGGCGTAACGGCACTCGTTGACGGGAAGAGACTGAGCGAAGTCATCGTAGGTTTGGTCGGGGAAACCGAGTTTTTCGATGACGACTTGTTGGCCGTCGATCCTGAATATTATGAACCGATAATTTCTTTTCGCCTTTAGCTCCAGAAACTTGAGCTTGCACTCATCGTCCACCGCCATCCCCGACGCCGAGTTCGCCTTTTCCCAATCCATTCATTCGTTCGTTATTTGTTCCATCCATCCATCCAATGCGCTATTGTTTGTATATGAAATTTCATATATAAAATCTATATCCTAAGTTCTAACTAATGAATGAAACAGACTTGAGGGAATTACATTTAGCTTTGGATATGAATCTCTTCTCCACTTCAACTTGGACAATGCGTGGTATTGACATTTACTCTTAAGTAATCTATCTAATTTAACCTAGATTTTCTCTTATATTTTATACTATGTAATGCAATGGTAAATACACACACACAAAGCATTTTTACCTTTTACAAATCAACATGAACATCGCTTTAATCTCTAAGTTTTTTTTTTTACTTTAGACTGATTTCGTCCGGTTTCCGATTTCCGAATGTATCATTCATAACTAACATGTATCATGCGATCGATCATATGTCTAGGTAAGGGGAAAAACTCGCAACGGAAAAAGAAGAAGAACGGAAAGGGAACGCACCATTTCTCAGTTGCAGATCGACAAGGAGAGTTGACAGGCTCTTTTGAGTTGATCAGTTTGATTCGAATCCTCCTTTCGGTGGTTTTGAGGAGCAAATGAAAGAAGAAAACGGAACGGGGGATGGGATGAGAAGCCGTACGTGAAGAAAAGAGAGAGAATCCTTAATGGTTTTCAGGAAGGAGACGAACTCGGACAACCATTTGCTCCTTCAAATTCTCCTCACCATCCCATAGTTTACGCTTTCTAATTTTAGCATACCATACATGCATGCATACATTTACTTTTATATAACGATGACGTGGATACGTATTCATGGACGGACATACACGGAGAAAGTTATAATTTTGATCCGAAAAAAGATTAGTAGATAGATCGCGAGAGAAATCTTAGCTTAGGGATACTACCATATCATATTTCCCAAGCTATTGCATGGCACTCCACTAACGTCGACCCAAAATACCCACAAAACAACATTCCTTGCAAGAAATACGTATACGTATACGTACAACAAATACCCATTATCACAACACATTCTCTTTTTTTTTTCCTACAAAATTGGAGAAGTACTGCCCTTTTTTTTATTCGATCATCCTACAAAATTGACAACCTTTGGACCTTGTCTCTTTCTGGGGTTCGCATCACTTCTACTCTGATCAGAAGCTCCGGTTTTAGCTTCTGATGACTTGTTTTTATTGTTGCTTTTCGTGTCTCCCATCACGAAGTCATCCTCAAGATCGTCCCCGCTTGTTAACTTAGTCACCTTCCCCCTTGGAATCTCTTCGTAATCTGCCGTTTGAGGTTAGAACAATGCAAAAAAAGGTTATGCAAGGAAGATCAAATTTCTCTCATGAATGCCGACTAATGCCATTGAAATCAATGCTTAAACCTGTATCCTTTGCTTGGATCGAACTTCGGTTATCTTTATCAGGGCAATCCTTCACTAGATGTGTCACACTTCCGCAAATATTACAACATCCTCCCTGTTGAAGAAAGAATGGGACGAGCAAGCGATCAGCTTTAACTTAGAAATAAGATCTCAGAGACAGTGAATAAGCTTCTTTAACTTCGAATTGGTACTCTCCTGACTCTTGAGAAAAGGGTAGAGAACAAAATCGAGCATTGTACCTTTGGGTAGATCCCATGCTTATTTTGCGGGCAGTTCTTGCTCAAGTGCCCACGTTCCTTGCATATGAAACAACTTGCAAATTTTGTTCCCCCTACATCACATTGAGGCGTAATATCACTAAACTAAGTTTGGGATCCTTAAAATGTAGTAATCAAATTATAATCAGAAGCTGACAAAAGAATGCTGAGTTGTTCTTGTTCACAAAGATTAGTGGTGAATTTACCATCTTCCATGGGATAGGGACATTGAGAAAGTGAATGGCTACTTTCTCCACAGTTGTAGCACAACTTCTTGTCCGAGCTCTCGTCGCTCTTGTCGGGGCAGTTTTTAAGACTATGTCCTCGTCTTCGACAACGCAAGCATACCTACAAGAACACACAACTCATGAGTCTTGTCCATACTTATTTGCTTTTGTCTCTGGATATTATGCAACAAGGAATCAAAACAAGATTTCGTCTACCAAGAGCTGCAAAAGGACAGTCATCAAACCATAACCATTAAAGGGTCAATTCTGCTACTATACTCGTGTTACTAAGATTAAACCTGATTGCTATATCTACTCTAGGTACAGCTATGGACATGCTTTACAATGGTCATACAGAAGCCAACTGATTTCCCCAGAAACTAAGAACAAACAATCCTCCAAAACTTCAAAATCTTAATCTTCTGCTCAAAACAATGCCCAGATTCTACCAAACTAAATTCTGAATCAAAATCGGACAAAAACCCATGAATGAAACGCGATTACCGCATAGAAACAGCATAGAAAAAACTTCAAACGAGCAAACCTTGTTCTTCTCCCACTCAGATTTTTGGGGGCAGAGCTTGGCCATATGGTCATTGCCCTTGCATATGTAACATCCTTCCCCGGGTTTCATACCGGGTATCCTAAGTGGGTGCCTCTTCATGCCTCTTCTCACCGTTCCTTTACTCGACCCGTCGATGGGTCCAGATTTCTTTCGCTTGAACATACTTTTCTTCTTCTTTTTCTTCTCCGGATCCTTCGGCGGCGTCGGCTCCGGCTTCGGAAACATCTCCGGGTGAGCCTCCTTGAATCTCTTCCTCGCAAGTCTCTGCCTTTGGCTCACCATCTTCGACAAAAATTCCCTGCGAACGAGCGAGAGCGAGAGCGAGAGCGAGAGATAGCGAGAGCTAGAGCGAGAGAGCGAGAGCGAGGAATCTAGGGCTATATTGTCGACGAGGGCAAACGAAGAAGTGGGCAACAATCGAAGGTTCAGGAAAATTATAACGTTATAAATGGGCCAGGCCCATGGGCTATCTATTGTTTGATACCTTCCAACGTCGTCGTTTGGTATCACTTCGCGTACCTTCGACGCTCACCGAGCGTGAAGTGTGGAACCTCGCGCGTTAGGCAAAATATTCAAAAAAAAAAACAAAAAATCAAATTACCTCGACACCAACGGCGACGTTATCATTTCCATTTGTTCCGTCTTCTATACGAATAAAATACCTAAGATCACTAACGCCATTATCTCTCCGCTATACGTGCCGTCCCTCATCAATTTTTTTTTATATAAATCCAAATAAAGTCATTAACTATCTTAACTTTTGACCAAAATCCATCAAATATATAAACAGTTTAAAAACAACATTTCATTTTAAATTTGTTATAAAATAATCAATTATTAATTTTAATTAAAAAAAAAATCATCAAATCTAAATTATTTGAAATATTTTCTTTTAATTTTGTTATAAAAATCTATAAAATTTGAATAAAATATATATAAATTATAAAAATTTTAAAAATCACAAAATAGTATTATTTAAATTTATCGTATTGTCGTATTAAGAATTTATATAAATATTTATAAACACCATATTTTATATAATACATTTATATACAAATGTTATATTTCAAATTAAATATATTTTATTGATTGTAAATATAAAAATCTAAAAAAAAATTAAAAAATAAATATATATTTTATTTAAAAAAAACTTCTATTTTGCATATAAATTTTTTTGGTCAATTCATACAACATGTAGAAAATTTCATATTTTTATTTCAGTTTATACAAGCAATTGTGGCATCACAATTATCTTATTATTGTTTGTAATGTAGACTCTTACATTCGATGAAAAAGAGACAAGGTCCACTTCTCTCACTCGCTGTCTGATTATATCATGACATGAGATGCCGTATGACACATTATACAATGATAAAACTCATACCATATCTTTCATTATTTATTATAATATCACACTAATAATCTCACAAACCGATTTTGTTTGGTGGTGACTCAGATCGAAAACGGTGCCGGAGATTCCGACGACGGCTCCGGAGCCGGAGATTCCGACGACGGCTCCGGAGCCGGAGATTCTGACGACGGCTCCGGAGCTGGAGATTCGGACGACGGCTCCTGTGCCGGAGATTCGGAAGACGGCTCCGGCGCCGGCGGCGGCGCCATCCCGAGGAAGCCGACGACGGAACCGACCGGAGAAATAAGATCGGAAACTCTGCCGGAGCTTCTGATCTCCGACATCTCTCTTCTCTTGTTCTTCTCGTTTTGTGCTTCACACAACTTTGGAAGAAACACTCCTGTTGTTATCACACCATTTTCCCGATTAAAAATAATAATTTTTTAAAAAAAAAATACCAATCAGGAAATTTAACTTGCAATAAAGTGTGTAACTTCATGGTTTGTTTCTATTTTAAATTTAGGTCCAGATATTTATTTTATTTTACGGAAACAAATTCAGATAATGAAGATAGTAGTGTTCTTGAAGTTCTGCAAATCCGGTTCGATTTTTTTATTAACCGATAAAAACCTAACCGGACTCATCAGACGCATTTTAACATATATCGAATTTTATATTAATTTAATTTTAATATTGAACTCAATTCTATTTATCATTAAAAAAAATATTTTCAAAGGTGTGGATATTTCGAATTTTGGTTCTGATTGGGTTTATTTATTTTAGAGTTCAGAAATTTTTATTTCTTAAATAAATTGTACCATTCTTTATTTTTATATTGAATTGGATTGGATTTTTATAGATAATCTTTTAAATAATATATATATATATATATATATTAGAGAGCTCGGCTTTTGATGATGTCGATGCTCATCTCGCTTGGATCCGTGGCCTTATATATATATATTATTTTAATTTACGTACCTTCACCGGCAGCGAGATTGAAGTAAAGATCGACGACGTTGGGGCAATGGTTGAAGCACTGAGGCGAGCAGAGCTTGCGGGTGAAACGCGGTTCTAGCAATGCGTCTGAAGAGATCCCCAGCGTTTTGCGATCCAGACCGCAGTCCTTAACGCAGCGTTCAGACTCGATCACGTTTGCGACTTTGTCCGCCTCTATCTCCGACGCGCGACACGTGTACACCTCCACGCCGCTCCTCAGCGTTTACCCGTCGACGAAACCGCAAACGCGCACGTGTCTTCGCTGAGACTCTCGCACGTGACTTCATGCCCTACGTACGGAATTTAGCAAACCAACTGATTATTCGCACCATCATCATCAAACAAATTTATTGAAACATTAATTCAGAAAATATCATATAATAACGAAAATATAGAGGTAAAACAAATAATTTTGGCATCATCCGCATCCATCTCGTATGGGTTGAATGTGTATATAAACAATATACACACGCATACAATACACGTGTGTGTGTATATATAGAGTGAATGTATAAATCTATATAAATAATAGGAAGCTAGGCTTTTATTTTTTTACATTTACTATCTAATTGAACGCTAAAATTATTGATTTCGACGTTAAATATTATAAGTATATTCGAAAATTTATTATAAAAACTTACCAAGAACAGTTTGGAAGGAGAGGGTGGTTAAGACAAGAAGAGAAGCGACAAAAGCTGCATTGTGAACAATGTTCAAAGCCATACTAAGAGGAAGATCGATACGAGAGAGAATGAGGAGAGATTTCCTTAGGGTTTTGATGCCAAGTGGTCAAGAAATTGATCTATTTATAGATTTTTTTTTCAGGGAATACAAAATTAATAAACTATGAAAATATTTAAAAATTAAATAATTCAAAGAAACGAAATGAATTAGAAGTGGGTGGTTGTTAGTGAAAAGTCGTGCTGATTTAATTGGTCAAGCAAATGTCAGGGAAATCCTTTACGTTCCATATTTTGCACTGTCTATTATAAAAAAAAAGTTGGAAAAATCAACCAATTGTTGTTTTTTTATTTCTTTTTAAGTAAAAACTAAACCAGACGTATTTAAAATCAAAACCTATGTAAAAAATTAAATATGGATAGTTTTAACAAAAATAAGAATCGAAAAAATTAATGAAATAAAAACATAATCAATCTTCGAGGTATTACTATTTAAGCGTGTGGTTATTTTTTGTAAATATATGACACTATTAAATAAATAATTCCATATATATAACAAGCGAATCCAAATATAAATCGAAATGTAAGCATAACAAATCCATTAGTATGATTAATTAACATAATATATGTTTTCTCTTATATTTATGTAGCAATAACGAACCAAGATTGTGATGGTTAGTTTCAATCCAAATTCATGCCTTTTATGAAATCCCTTTTAACATACGAAAACACATATGTAGACTGGTACATTACAAAATAGCCAACGTATATCGTTAGATGTAATGTTGGATTTCATAAGAAATAAATAAATTTTTTTAATAAAAAGGTATGTTTTAATATAAATTGTATTCCGCTATCAATGGCGAAGGTTTCTCATATACAGACGCCAAATGTGGACTTGTGAAATTTTTTTTCCAATGAATTTTGGCATTCAACCATGTTTCAAATAGTTTTGTTTTATAATGATTTCCAGGTATCCGCGAGATAAGGTATCCGAAAACCCGCGGGTCTCGGGTAAAAATGTCAACCCCTAGTTGGGTGCACTTTGCAACAATGTAACAAATTTCAAACCAATTTATACTCCACCAATAGTTTTATTTATTACATTAAAGTTTAAATATAGGGTTATAATTATAATTATAATTTGTTTATTAACTTCATGGTCATGTCATGTGAACCATGAAAATGCTAAATAACATGAATGAAAAATACAGATTGTTTTTACCAAAAAAAAATATACAGATTGTACAAAAAGTCCAAGAGCTCGTATTTGATATCTTGTGCGTTGATTTCAGTATTCAAGGCAAACATAAAATGTATTTTATTTACGTGGATATCTTTTTTATAAATATAAATTAGTCAATAGATTTATTATATAGAATTTTCCAATAAGCCGGGAATGACGGGCCAAAACTTGGAAATAACCTAAGACGTTCGGTGTCCGTAACCGTAAACGATGGCAACGACTTGTCGACGTGTCAAAGTCTACGGAGTTCAAAGATCTTTTTTGTGTCTTTAGACTTCTCAACTTCCCAACATCACGGAGCCGACCACGTATTATTTTTTAAAAAAAATTGAAAAAATTGTAAATAGTGAATCATTCCTCGTCCAAAGCATTGAATTTATGCGGAACGGAAACATGTTTGTATGTGTAAATCTAACATTATCAACCGTCGACTGCACAAAAATAAATAGATCCAAGTGTTACCAATTTGTTATACAATACAGGGAGAACAACAGATACGAGAGAAAATATATTATATACCAAATATTTTAGAAGACAGTCTTAGCATGTTTTACTGGTTTTAATGTTTGGTACAATGTGAATTTGGTTTAGTGATTTATTTTGGTTTAAGAATTTGATATCGTTTTATTTCTTTTGTTTTGTTTCTGTACTTGAAGAAGATCCAGCACGCGGAACACGGCAATCATTAGAAAATCACGAATTAAAAACGCAGTAGAGGTCCTCGCCAATGGGCTTATGGACATCATTTTCTTCTTTGTACCCAATTTGGATAGCTTAACCGGTGGAATGGGACGCAAAACTTCTGTCCCCCGAGTTCGAGTCTCAAGTTGAGAAGCATAATTTCAATCACATAGTTTGCTTTCGATCCCGAAATTAGTCTGAACTTCGGCCCATTACACCCGCTTACCCAAAAAAACAAAAATAATTTTTCGGTTTGCAATAGAAACCAAAATTGACCCAAATTCAATATTCTCTATTTTTCGAAAAAGTCCAACAAAAAGAAAAATCATAACTAATCTCTTCTAGGGTGTCAAATGGGCCGGGTTGACTCGAGTACGCACTCGATCCAGAAGTTTTGGGTTTGGACTGACTCGAGTACGCACTCGATCCAAAAGTTTTGAGTTTGGACCGAGTCGGATCGAATCGGTCCGTTCAATTTCTTCATTGTTAATATTTTTTTTATTTTTTATTGCATTAATATTTTTTAAAATAAGCTACATTGAACGTTCGAATTGATCCGAAATCCGATTTTCTGATCCAAAAATTTGAATTTTTTCGGACCAAAAACTTTAGGTCCAAAACCCAATATTTTTTGGATGACTTCGAGCCTAGATTGACACTCCTAATCTAGTCGTTGTTACTACCCAATTGAATTTTACAATCTGCATTTATAATTGACATCTTGACATGTTATTCCATCCAAGTCCGGTATACTGTCAAATTTCTAATCAACAACTTAGCCTAGAAAATTTACCCTAGAGTTTTAGAAACATGAAAAAGTTACCATAGAAAAAAAAATCATAAATAATCGGTTAGTAGAATATTATTAGGTCAAAACCAATATCTGCAACGAAATGGTTTTTAGAATAACGAAATGAACCGATCAAACCGGTTCAAAGGTTAGTTTACTCAAACCCTTTTAAATCGGTTTGATTTGCATATGTGAGATGAGAAGTCAGATATGCTCATAAACGCCGGTCTTGTTTTAACTAGAGATGGTGATTTTGGTTTTGATTAAACACAACCGGACCTATCTGGACGGAATTCAATATAAAAAAAGTGAATGCATATAAAAATTTTTAAAATAAAAAACTGATTCCTAATTAAATATGAAAATGAACCGAATACAAAACGTTTTTTTTTAAAGAAAATAAACATTTTTAATAAAAAAAAAATCAAACAAAATTCAAATACTAACATGAAAAACCAAATTAATTAGCTTTCAAACGAAAAAAGTAGAACAAAAAATAACAACTAACCAAGTTCCAGAAAATCAAATTAGACTCCCCAAACCAAACCAGCCGGACTTTGAGATTAACTCGAAGCCTCTATCTCATAAGGAAGGTGTGGGCAAGACGTGACGTGCGGGTTAAACATAATTGGGCTTGGGCTTTCAAATGCTTACAAAAAGCCCAAACATTGAACTAGATAGAGGCTTTCTCCTTGTATCTCTTTTTAAGCAGAGAAATAGAAAAAAAAAAGAGATAATCGTTCACTATAATATAAATAATAATCCATAAAACACCACATTATCTATAAAATGAAATCATCTCATATATGGAAAATATATTTTGATCTTAAACTCTAAACAATTATATTAAAATTGTTTACATATTACGATTCACATTCCATTAAAAGTGATAAAATATATATGCGTAAGGATTTTGTGTGCGTATCATTATGATGTTTTGGTGTATGAGAGAGTTAGGAATGTCGAATCTTAGTACACGTCACACGAATCGGATCCAATCGGCTCAGCAAACTGCAAGATTACCACACGATTACATTAAAATTAATCGATTTCTATGTATAATAAATAATATTGTTTCATGAACAAAAAAAAAATGCGTTGTACGAATTTTGCATATCCCCAATTCCTTTCGTATGCATTGGCATTTCAATAACTTCCAAGAATTCATGCATTTTTCTTTTTATTTTATTGCAATAACTTCCCAAAACTATGCAAAAATAATGGAAAGGGCCCTACCGGGTTCGAACCGGTGACCTCTTGATCTGCAGTCAAATGCTCTACCACTGAGCTAAGGACCCTAGATTGATAATATATTAATTAATTATAAATTATAATTTTGATTAAAATTAATCAAATATTAACAATGATTTAATATATGTATTTCAGAAATTTTGTTTTTATTGATGGTATTCCATTCCCATTAAAATCTTGACAAAATTGTTGAAACTTGAAATTTAAAAAAAAAAACTAGTCAATTGTATTTATATGATCTTAATCATATTTTGAAATATATATATATTATAAATTATTTTTAGAAATGATAATAATTTTTGAAAGATGGTCCAATTGAAATATAGCAGTTAGCAGTGCGATTTAATTAAAAAAACAAGTATAGAGGAAAGTAAAATTAGGATAGAAAATCGAAGCGTGGGAGAAAAATTCATATAGATTTTTTCAATTATCTGCGAAATATAGCTGGTTCAAAGATTTAGTGAAGTTTAAAATTATAAAAAAAAAAAAAAAAACATGAGGAGACGAGATTTACCAAAAAAACAAATAAGGACAGGAGGCGGACGGGGACATGATGAAAGCGGTCACCTTTCTCGAACGCGTGTGACCGAAACGGAACATCGTTCAAACCCAAGCCTTCTTTTGACTTGTTCAATCACCTACGTTGACTTTTATTTTCTTAACCGTACGGACTGTATATTTTGATTTTTTTTTAATTGTCTCCGGTCAAAAATTGAACTTTTTTTTTGTATAAAGGCGTGAACTTTTTGTATTTTATACAACTAGGAAAATATAAAAATATTAAGATCTCCTCATTTAATGAATTATATCTGAATTTTTTCAAATTATTTTTTTTTTACTTGAACATAAAATTATAAGATATAATAAAATTTAGTTTAATATTGAACAAAACATTTAATATATCCGTTGAAAACAGACGCACACGTGGCATCATAGATATATGAACAATGAGGGAGAGAGAAGGGAGAGACGAGAGAGACACGCAGACGCACGTTCCTCACCAGCTTGAAATGGAACATAGATGTGATGTTTTTTTTCTTGGGGGGACCATACAGTTGAAATTAAAGGATTTCACATTCGAATTAAATGCGCTGTCACCATTGCATCAAATTGTATAACGTGAAATTATCAGAGATTTCACATATTGGGCCGAAATTTCAGGTTTCACATAATAATTCTTTTTCAGTTGTGAACGGGTTTGACTATGAAACGGAAATCAATTGCGATTTGGTCTGTAACACTTGGCATTATATATAGTATCAACGTTTTGGTTAACAGAGACAAAACAATGTTAATTTCAGAAATTTTAATATATATATATATATTTTTTTTTAAAAAAAAATGTTGCCTTCATGCGTTGGTAAATAGATAAACCTTGCATGTTTTCTAGCCCGTACGTATAAGTTTTGTAATTACTTTCCAATAACAACATATTTATGAAATGAGGGCTACATATGGATATTAATTTAATAAATATACCCCGCCGTATCTGTTCAATTAATCTATTTCTAAAACGCTTAGTTTCGAAACAAGATATTTAATGCATTTTTATCCAACTAATTATTTAACGTACAATATTAAGTGTAACATGGGGAAAAGTGACCATAACTAGAAAAATAAATAAATAATAAAACCATTATTTTTTTTAAATGAAGCATTGTGGATCGCGTGATCAATGTTGATATATAATTGTACGATGTTATGGTTAATTTAATAATATTCCAATAAATGAAGGTCCAATATGCACCAAGTCCATCCTTTAATTTTATTCAAAGGCCTACCGCCTACACGAAATGCGGAGATTGTATTGCCAAAAAATGAAATAAAACAATAAAACAAAAGCCACAGAGCACGGAACTCATTGGTCAAAGTCTTGACTTTTTTTTTTTAAAATGTCACGTCTCTATAAATACCTCGTTTCCCTTCATCATTCTCATGCATCACCTCACCACAACACCAAAAGAAGCTCCCCCCTCGTTACCAAACACATCTCTCGACAAACTTGAGATTATGTCGTGTGATTTGAGCTTGTGCTTTGGGGTTTTGGCATTGGTTCTTGGTCTTGTGTTTACGAAGTCTTGTTTGTCGTGTTGGGTATTGCCGGTTCGAGCCCTAAAGAAGATTAGGAAGAATGGATTCGTGGGTCCATGTCCGAGTTTCCCTTTCGGAAACCTCGAGGAGACGAAGACAATCAAGGCGGAGAGTGTGAACCGGAGGAAAGCTGCCGCTGTCACCCACGACATACACGCTATTGCTCTTCCTCATTTCGCCCGTTGGCAACAACAATATGGTATCCGATATATTGTTGAATTAAACTTGATTTTTGGTTTGCGATTTTGTTTTTTGGATCAGAATCATTATTGGGCTTAATTTAGTTTTGGATCATTGATCCGAAATAAATAGGAAGAGATACAAAATTAATTACGATTCAATTTTTATATGAAAAAAATATCTAGATTTTTAGATAGAATGAATATCTAGAAACTAATAATATTAAAAAAAAAATAGATATTAGAATATATATTTTATTTAAGATATTTATTAATAGTTGTGTCAAATGGATATAGGTACCTATTATCTCCCTCGTTTGTAAAACAGAGCAAAATAAAAGACATAAAAAGAGTTATAAATATAAGTTTTTTTTTTTCTAAATACTTTTTCAAATTTCTTCTTAAAACTTTCTTAATTTTTCGAGTTTTTATATCTAATTCTCTTGTTTTTCTCTTACATATACATATATCTTTGGAATGTTTGTAATATATAGTCTTGTAACGTTATAACCCTACAGGATATTGAAATATTTAGTCGTACCAAATTAAATATACATTGCGCGTATGCGGTATTGATGTATTTATTTTGCGTTGAATTAATGTTAATTGTGATCATATATATGACGCAGGCAAAGTGTTCGTGTACTGGCTGGGGGCCGGGCCGTTTTTGTACGTAGCGGACCCCGAGTTCTTGAGGGTCATGTCGGAAGGTATGTTGGCCAAGAGTTGGGGAAAACCTAATGTCTTCAAGAAAGACAGAGAGCCCATGTTTGGAACAGGCTTGGTCATGGTCGAAGGCGATGATTGGACCCGACACCGCCACGTCATCACCCCTGCATTCTCCCCTCTTAATCTCAAGGTATATATATATGTATAATGTATATAGTTAATTGACGAATCATTTATAATAAATACTTACATATTTATGAAGATCCGACCGTGTTTTCTAATGGTAAGACTTATCTTAGCTCAAAAAATTAGACTGCTTGCTTTGTTGGAAAAAAACGGATCGTATGCAGAAACTTCCCTCGCTTTTCCCAAAAGCATAATTTATAAGCCACCAAAGTGAATATATATTCAATTTCAAAATTGTTACAAAAAATGTCAATAAACAAGAAAATTGATTCTTCTTTCTAACATCGTTGGTCTAATATTTCATTCTAACTATATATACACACATCTCTCTCTCTCTATATATATGTATATATAGGCCATGACAAGTATGATGGTGGAGTCGGCAACCAGCATGTTGGACGGATGGGCCGTACAAATCAACTCGGGAAACCCGGAATTCGATATGGAGAGCGAAATCATAACATTGGCCGGAGAGATAATCGCCAAGACGAGCTTCGGAGTCACCGGAGAAAACGGACGTAAGGTTCTCAAGAACCTAAGAGCCATGCAATACACTCTCTTCAAGTCCAAACGCGTCTTGGGCGTGCCGATATTAGGCAGCATTCTCAACTTCAAAGAAACCCTAGAGGCCGAAAAACTCGGCCGAGAGGTCGACCGCTTGCTTTTATCGATCATAGACGAACGGAGAGGATCGATCCAACGGGGAGAATACCATCGGGATGATCTATTGGGGCTGTTGCTGAAGACGGATCATGAAAAGAAGGAAGGGAGAAATTTGACGGCGAAAGAGCTCGTCGACGAGTGTAAAACCTTCTTCTTCGGCGGCCATGAGACGACGGCTTTGGCGCTGACGTGGACACTCATGCTTCTCGCCATTCACCCAGAGTGGCAGGAAAAGCTCCGGGAAGAGGTCCGACAAGTCGTCGGAGATTCCGACGTTGATTACCACAAACTTGCAGGGCTTAAAAAGGTACGTATGTATACGTATTTGCATGTAAAGCATGGTTTATGTCCAACTATACATATACACACACACAATACATGCACGTGTTTTTGTTAGAGGGAGATGCATCTGCGTGATGGACGTACATGACAATGACAGAGTAGTTTCCAGCATGAACAACTATTTTGCTTTTCTTGCACACGTCATATTTTATTTTTTATATTTGAAATTGATCATATAAAGTCAGTATAGAACGTGAGGAACAAAGGTCAACGTACGGAACACGAGAGAAAAAAACATGGTCAACGTGGGAGACCACGGAATTAATTAGAAGTTCAAGTAATCTTATTATGGATATAGAACATACCTAAATCTATTACAAATTATAATATATATATATATATATATATAATATGTATATATACACGTTCATGGTGGGTCAAAGTCAATGTCATGTATAGGTCAAAGGCCATGACCACGATGTGAACAACTTAAGGACCGCATCCATACGCATCAAATTGACACGTGCGAATTGCTGCCCTCTTGCACCTACTCTTTTTTATTTTTATTTTTGTTTAATATTCTGTTTCCCCATCGTTAGGGTTTGCCCTCATTCACAAAATTTGCAGTAAAAAAAAAAAGAAAAAAAAACACGTGTGTGAAATTAAAGCTCGATCATAGACAAAGCTTCATCCATAATGAATATTTGATTATCATATAATTCGTATATTGACTGTTTGGATCTTGAAATGTTATAACAGATGAAATGGGTGATGAACGAAGTTCTACGATTATATCCACCGGCCCCAAACGCACAACGACAAGCTCGGAGGGACATAGAAGTTGGCAAAGGCCTTGTCGTCCCTAACGGTACGAACATTTGGATCGACTTAGTGTCTATGCACCATGATCCCGAGTTATGGGGGGATGACGTGTACGAGTTTAGGCCGGAGAGATTCGCCGAGGATTCGAACGGTGGCTGCAACCACAAGATGGGGTTTTTGCCGTTTGGATTCGGAGGGAGAATGTGCATTGGTCGGAACTTGACCTTTTTGGAGTACAAGGTTGTCCTGACTCTTGTTTTGTCCCGGTTCGAAATCTCGGTTTCGCCCGGTTATCGCCATGTACCGACATATATGCTTTCTCTTCGTCCCGGTTATGGGTTGCCTCTCATCGTACGACCCCTTTAGATTCCTCTAACGTGGATAATATTCTTTAGCATCGATCCTTGCATGCAAAAGAAGAAGAAGAGGAATTGATATTGGGTTCGTGTTTAGTACTAGGGAAACTCCGGCAGTATTTTCCGCTAATCAATGTTTACCTTGTTTATATGGAATATACAACTTTTTTTTCTTGAATAATTGGTATCATATGCATATTTTGAGGGGAATAAACGGATCAAAACAGTTTATAATTAAGGGGATATTGTTGAAATAATAAATAAATAAGGGGTCAATATAGAATTTTACCAAAAGGGGACGAACCCAAACCCGACGGAAGTGAGACCGCCGATAAAGAAAAAGAAAGGAAGTACCACGCTCCGGCCAGTATCTATCTGATCTTATTGAAAACAAACTATATCGTGTGTGCGATAAAAATGAAAATCAATATAAAAGTTTCAAGGCATGTGGGGGGGTCGTAAATTTCTCTTTCGTCTGTAGCAGCGTTTCCTCGCCTATCCCTCGGCATATCGCTGCATGGCTAACATGTCGAGCCGTGAATCAACTGCACCTCGTGACTCCGCTTGAGTTTTCATATTAATCTTCATTTTTCATCGCCCAGATGACATAGCTTGTTTTGGACAAGATTGGATATTGAAGGGTGAATATATATATATTGTGGATAATAGTCTTTGAATCCATGTAATACACGTCTTTTTTTTTTTAAATAATGGGTATCATCTGCATATTTCTAGTGGAGTAAAAGGCAGAATAGTTTATAAGGGGATATTTTTGAAATAATAAACAAATAAAGGGTCAATATAGATATTTACCAAAAGGGGAGAATCAACACGAGTTATTCACATTCCCTTCTTTCTCTCGTCTTGAAGCAACGAACCCCAGAAAGAGTTGTCTATCGTCTCTTCGACGTCAAGTGGGCAGCAATCAATCTTCCCAAAAACCTTTGCCCAGATCGTCTATGGCGTCTCTGACGGTGAATACGTGGACGCCAAGCTCTCTTCAACTCAGATTGGCCCTAAACTACGGGAATTTCAGGGTTCCGGTACGGGCGATGATGGCGACGAAGCTCAGTCGCCACGTTCGAATGTTGTGCGTTTCGCAGAATGCGGAAGCCCGCCGTGATTTTGGCGGGGGGGACGGGG